AAGTCCTGAACGAAAAGTGAAATTCATGGGATGGAGGCTTTTAGCCATTCTCCCAATTCTCTCTCTCTCTCTCTCTCTCTCTCTCTCTCTCTCTCACACACACACACACACACACACACACACACACACACACACACCAGACGAGGACAGTTCGGGGTCCTTGCACTCGATTCCCTCAGCACTCTGAAGCTTTCCCCTCTTCCACTAGTGCTTGGTTCCCAAGCCCTGTTCACTTGGTGCTTTGGTTCCATTATGTCCCCTTTAACTGTCTTCTTCGTCTTTTTTGCCTTCTGTCTTCATTGCAGGGACTGAAAAGCTGTGCCCACCTCAAATCCATATTGTCAAGCTCTCACTCCTTGTTCCTCAGAGTGTGGCCATATTTAGAAATAGTGCTTATGAATAAGTCAATTTCTATTGTTACAACAAACACCTCACTTCAGATAATTTGTAAAGACTTACAGTATTTGGCTCTTAGTTTTGGAGTCTGAAAGTCCAAGATTAAGTGGCCCCCTTGTTTAGCTTTTGGTGAGAGGCTCATAGCAGATGTCGACAAGGCAGGGGCATGTGCAAGGCGAGGAGGGGACCACACAGTGATATTGGGCAGCAGGAGCTGCTGGGTCAGCCTCACTCTTCTTTTACGAGTTTTTTTAAATTTTGTATTTATTTATTCATTTGGTAGAGGGTCTCTCTCCGAAGCTCAGACTCATAGTGATTCTTGTGTCTCAGCCTCCCCAGCACTGGGATTACAGGCATGTGCCACCACATTCAGTATCAGCCTAGCACTGCCTCCCCAGCTACAAGCGTCAGCATGGCATACGGTACCAGGGATCGAACCCAAGTCCTTGTACTTGCCAGGAAGGCGCTCAGACCCCCAGCATCTCCCCAGCCCCAATCTCACTCTTTTGTAACACCCCTCCCTCCCAGAATCAGCTCACTCTTGAGAGCAGCGTTAACCTTTTCTGAGGTCAGTGACCACAGTGAACTGACTGTTTCCATTCCTCAGGGTTCCACCTCTTCAGGTCTCCATCGCTTCAGGGCAGCCATGCTAGGGACCAAACATCCAGCACAGGAGGCTTTGGTTGACAAACCACATGCAAGTCATGTCAGGCTTTAATCAGTCTTTCTGGACACAAAGGTGGAGATGGTGTTCTTATGAGGAAAGGGGGGAGGGGCAAGGGAAGGGGAAGGGACAAGAAGAAGTGGGAGAGGGCAGCGGGAGAGGAACCCTAACTGGGTATGCTCAGAGAGAAAGGACTGTTGGAAAGCACCAGTGCAAGCTGAGGAGAGGAGGCCTCAGGGAAGACCGAACCTACAGCAACTGTATGTTGGACTTCCAGCCTGTAGAACTATGAGGAAACAAATTGCTGGTGTTTCAGCCCTTGCTCTGTGGTATTTTGTTATGGTAACACTAGTGAACGAATGTGTTGCTCTTTCTTATTTCTTTTAAATTCTTCTTTAAAGTGCCCTTAGCTTTCACCTATACTCTCCCACCATTAGTACACAACTCAATGAAAAGGAAATAGATGGGTAAGCTTTGAGGTAAAATGAGAAATAACCTTCTACTTGGCACTTTCCTCAGCTACAAATTAAATGAACTGGTTCCGCCTGTAACCTGGAAACTCTGATTCAAGGCCATCTCCTGTGAAACTGCCTCCTTGAAAACGCTAGAGCGCCTCCAGAGCTCATGTTCCACTTCCCATGCTCATTCAAGACATTTCCTATCAGAGAAGTTTAAACTGTATCTCAATTTAAATACAACTATCTCAACTGCATTTTCACTTTTTTTGCATGACAAAATTATTGAAGAATGTGACCCATGCAATACTAGGAATTAAACTGACTTTTGTTTTGTTGCTCCAGGAATATAACTCTGATTTATAGCAAATTTTTTTCAGTAAAATATGTTTCGAGCACCAAATATTGAACCCCCAGTTGAAGCCTTTGAACCACCCTGCTCATAAACTGGGTTCTGTCTAACCCTAACAGAATCGGAGGAAATATAAATCCTGATAGTATCTCTTTGGCGATGAGCTTGACCGCTTTATACCAAAAATACAAATGTAAAAGGTGGCCAACGTTCTGGGGCCATCCTCCAGCCCTAGAAAGCTGTGCAGTGAGTGGGTTCCTTCATTATATCGGCAAGCAAAGGCCTTACTGCAAATAGAAAACTAGGTCTACACCCTCAGCAGGCTACTTCATGTAATGACCAAGTAAAGAGTAAATAGGGGATTCAGAAGTGAATGGCCGAGAGGCTTCTGTCTTCTTCCCACCTGGTCTCGCCTCCCCTTCCCATCTTGCGGATGCACTGCTACCTGCTTCTCTGTCTCTGAGATCCATTGCAACCAACTCCACGAGCCCCTCACGCCGCCTCTGCTTTGTTTCAACAAATACTAAACCTGCCTTATCACGCAGTGTGGGCGTGAGCAGAAGCCAGCTGTTTTCTGGGTTCTGTGTGTATGCAACTCTTTCCCAATGTTTTAACAGGGAGGGAGATCAATAGAGAGAAGCAAAAATATGTTCTGCTATAAAGCAACCAAAGAAAGCATGTGCAGCTCGATGGAGCTTACCCTCCAAAGGAAACAGTACACAACACCTCCACATGAATCATTTATCCCGTCATTGCTTCAACTGTAAGATCCTACTATATGTAAGATTGCAATTAGGAGCTTTTTTTTTTTTTTTTTTTTTTTTTTTTGGCGGAACTGGGGATTGAACTCAGATCCTTGCGTTTGCCAGTCAAGCGCTTATCTACTGAGCCATCTCCCCGGCCCCACAATTAGGAGCTTTAATGGGCTATAAAGTTGAATAAAATAAAATTTTATTGGTACCATTTTTAAAACACCCAGTGAATTTAAAAACAGCCAGGTTTCTGAAAAACCAGGTTTCCACTGACTGCATTCTGGTCATGTTTCAGGGGCTACAGCACTCTTAGAACAGCTGCTTTTCCTCCTCGGGGACATCAGCACCGCACCCCATACAGAGCCACTGCTTGGGGCACCTAGTGCCGGGGCCCATAATGACTGAAGGTCCCTGACCTTCCTCCTAACCATTTTCCTCACTAACGAACTCAAAGGAAAAGTAAACAAAAGTATCTTTCCCTGTGTATTTCCCTACCTGTATGTATTTTCATGTTTTAAAACAGATTTTTCTTCCAGTTTAAATGATTTTTTTTTTTTTCCAGAAGAGGTAAAAACAGTTTGTACTTAGATATCTAGTTGGTGATAGTAGGGAAGTGATAACCAAAGGCCCATCACCTTCCTCTTGGGACCCTTTACCCTTTCCTCTTCTCCAAATGGTCAGAGAAGCCAGATTAAAACTTTGCATTAGCAATTCAAAAGGACAATAAATTGTAAGTGAAAGCCCTGGCCAAAATCACTTAGAACAACCTTTCAGAGTGAAAGCGAATGTAACCACAGTGACAACTGGTGACTCCAGGTGACAGTGGTGCACCCAGCCAGTGCTTTAGCGGTTTCTCAATGTTAATCTTGCTAAACATCAAGGGGGGAGTTATCCCTGAGGAATTTGGTAAGAAACAAGTGATTCTCGTTTTAAGGTTTGCACAGAAAATTATAGAGCACGTTTTCCCCACCAAACATCAGTTTCTAAGTAAAATGAGAACTTAGACTCGGTGCATTTCAACAGTCTAGCCCTACTAGTGTGGCCTCACATAGGTCTAAGCCTCTGAATTACATTAGTCATATGATGAAGGCAGGCAGGCAACGTTGTGTGCATTAGCTAGTGATGAGACCAAGGTTGTCACCTTAACCCCACCGCCTCCAAAATATCTGGCCTCAACCCTAAGAACAATGCTTGGGTCCTAATATTCTTCCAGGAGTTACAGCTCTGTGACCTTGGGCCATGCCATGCTTTTGTGTGGTCCCATGTTCTTCCCTGTAACGTGGAGCTAAGCCTCAAGATGAGGAAACGTGATGTGGCGAGTACGCAGCCAGGCCACAGCAGTGTGAATGAATTCATCATTAAGCCCCTCTAGGTCTACTTAATTTTACAACACATTACTAAAAATTTTCAATATAGGGAGTGAGTTTAATGTTAAAGATAACTCTCCTAATTGGAATGATTTAGTCTTCGTACTTACAGCTTTTAACATACATCCCTTCACATGCTTTTCAAAAATTCATATACTATCGCATTTTCAGAAGTAAAAATAGGTTTGGAGATTGCTGTGCAACAGGACTTGGCAAATGCTTCCTGCGAAGGACCAGACTTTAAATAATTTATGCTCTGCATCTCTGCAGTCTCTGTCATGGATAACCTTTGCAGTGAAGTACCCACATCACCCACAGAGGCGGCGCAGACCGCCGGGAAGTCCTGCTCCGAGAAAACGTCAATTACGTGTGTGTGCTGCACTTGGTGTGCTTTTCACGTACTGTGGATTAGGATTATTCTTTTGAGGCTATTTTTCAACATGCAGTAAGGTAAAAACCATTATTAGCTTTCAGGCTATATAAAAACAGGGAGAAGGGCATTTTTGGTCAACAGGCTAGCAATTGACAACCTCTGTTATGAAGAATAGATGTACAAAGATATATGAATGCATTGGGATAAAGTTTATTAGAAAATTGCATTAGAAATTCAGTTCCAGGTTCAATTTCTGGTTGCTATAAAACAGAATTTTATTGGTATTAACCTTATGTTAGTGAGTTTAACTTTATTGATATGAAAAGTAACCTACAGAAGAGATAACTTCATAGTAGTACGAAATGGTATTAAAAAAATAATTAAGGACAGCTGGGGACATAATTCAATGGTAGAATACTTGTCCACCATATACAAAGCTCTAGGTTCAATCCCCAGCCTTCAAAAAAAAAATTAAGTGATTTCATGTAATGTGAGAGATTTTTGAGTGAATTAATACTTTTAATAGTGACAATGTCTCTCTATGCAGTTCAACCTGGCGTTGAACTAAGTAGCCCAAGCTAATGTCAAACTCACAGCAATCCTCCTGCCTCCCCAGTGCTGGGATTAAAGGTGTGCGCCACCACACCTGGCCTGAATTTTTTTTTTTAATATTTGGAAATGTAAATATTTTGAATGAATTTCTGAATTTTATCAGTAGGCAAACATTGTAAGTATTCTAAATACTTCAAGGTTTACAACACACATGCATACCACATGCATACGTGGAATAATTTCAACATTACCAGATGTTACAGTATTTTAACATAGTACAAGAAAAGTTAAATATAATTTACATATAAATACATATGAAATATTAATAAAAATAGCAAAGCTGATAACTTTAATGCTTGAAATTTTATCAAAGCATTATACACAGCATTTAAACACTATTAGTCTTATTTTTCCTTAACTGCCAGTTGTTTGGAAATAACAGATATTTAAATAAAGCATAATATCAAGCTGTGCTTAGTAAATTCAGTATTTCGTGACCAAAACTTTTAAATGGTCATTTTTATCCCATTTTAACTTTAAAATGTATCACAGAAGAGCCACATTCTTTTCACTGATGCACATTTACCAATGACAGAAAAAGTGCATTTTTAGTCTCCGAAAAATACTTCTACTAATATGCAATCAAGGTACAAATAAAACAGCTGAAGCCTGCTGTAACAGTTTCCAGCAGCCATAAATTCAAAAATAAAGGGAAGCTATCAGGACCACCGTTAGTATTTTCTGGACACCAAGAGCATCATGTAACAAATCCTAAATACTGAATATGGAGAATTCTTTTATGATTTTAATAAAAGGTATAATATAATCCTTTAAAATATCTTTGCTAATATGTTCCTACCTGAAGATTTCCAGTTAGTCAAAAATAATGCCTTTTCACTAAAACGTGAACTTGAATCTTTTTCATAAAATTGTTGATTTTTATAAAAATAAATTTCCTTAGGAAAAAAATTTTGCCATTTGGAGTATCTTCATTTTGAGAAAAAAAATGCATTTTTCACTGAAAGTAAAGAATTTCAGTCCTCAGGTATAAGAACATCCACTGCCTCATGCAAGTAAGAACAAATTATTGTGCTCCTGGAAATTAGCTCTTTCACTAGCACAGCCTGAGCGCATCTGGAAACCTAATAAAATGCTAGATGAGCAAGCAAGTATCAGCGAGAAGAACCAAGCATACTGGACCCTTCCTCACCTCTGGGCACATCTGCTCAAAGGGACTGCAAAGCATTGTGACACAGTAGTCCTGTAACATCACCTAGTGCCTCTCTCTACCCACATGTTGAAACGTGTCTGGGCTTATATCTAAACTCAATGTCATTTAATGGTGGTAAAATGCCCAAGCCTGCACGGGACTGGTCTAAAGGGGGGCATTTAATTTGACTCTCCACGAGCTCCAGTTCAAAATACAAAAGCATCAAGATCAAAAACTGCTTGATTTCTTGGATAGCAAATAATCTTCCAGGACATATGGTAGCTCCTGACCCAAAAGGCATGTAGTAGTACTTCAACTTGATTCCATTGCTGTAGAAGGTGGTCTTTGTTTTCCTGTTTTCATCTAGGTATCGATCATATTTAAAAGTCTGCAATACAAATACAAAGAAAATAAGTCTATAAGCTACTTTGAAAGGAATTTATCCCTTTGTTAACCTGAGAGCTGGAAGAGTAATTTTCTTTTTTACTCACTCCATCAGTAGTATGGATGAAAAGGAGAACAATTTAAGTATTTCAAGGTCACATCAGTGGTACAGCAAATACCCTACACTGAATGGGAGAGTAGTATGGGATAGGAGCACTTAAGGAGAACTACTGGACCAAGACAGCTTTCAGAATCTTCTCTTCTGTCTGGTAATGAGTCCCTCAGTCAAGAGAGGGGTGACAAGTATTATAACTAAAAATTAAAAATTCAGACCACTACCAAATTTTCCCTAATCTCTGAATATTTGACATAATTAAGGGGACAACTTCTGTGGCCTCAATAATCAAATTAATTCTACAACTATGAATGCCCTTCTTAGGGAGACCTGAGCTGACATCACCTGGGCACTAAACTCTACCCAGAAGTCACTTACCAAAGGGTCAGGGTAGATCTCTGGATCTAAATGCATCAACTGTGGATACAGAGCTATGATGTCATCTTTTCGGATGTTGTAGGAACCATCCTCAAGGTGCAAAGTAAAATCCTCCTTGGCTGTCCGGATGTTCAGGGAGGCGCTGGAAAGCCGCAGAGCCTCTTTGATGATACTATCTAAGTATTTTCAAGGAAAGAAAAAAAGAAAGAAATGAAAGAATTCAAAGAAGGATGAAAAAGAGAACAATTTAAACATGTCAAGTCACATAATGAAGCGTCTGGAGTGCTTCGGCAGCTCATAACACAAAGACTAACAGAAACTAGAAAGCTGACCAGACAGAAGCTTCTCAAACTTTCTTCCTGTTATCATTATACTGTTATGAATGATTCAACTTTGTCTGGCCTTATTTTTAACTGATCATCTAAATTAACGATAACTGACAAAGATATGATCTGGTATATTAATGGGAATGACACTTCCAGGACTCAGAGATAGCTCGGCAGTCTAAGCACCTGCCTGGCAAGCACAACGACCTGGGTTCGATTCCAGATACCACATGCCATGCCAGCCACTGAAACAGAGCATGGTGGTACACTCCTGTAATCCCAGCCCTGGGCAGGCTGAAACAGAAGGATCAGTATAAGCCCAAGCTGGGAAGCAAGTCCCTGTACCAAATAAATAAATAAATAAACCTTTTTAAAAATGAGAACTGTACTTTCATCATTTTACTTGAAAATAATCCTTTTATCTTCTTTTTGGTTTGAGACAGGATCTCACTACGTCATTCAGGCTGATCTTGAGCTCATTATGGAGCACAGGCTGGCCTCAACCAGTGATCCTTCTGCTTCAGTGTCCAGAGTGCTGGGATTATAGATGTGTAGCACCAAGCCTGGCAATTATCTTATTTCTACATGATATTCAACAGCTGGCAAAATTGGAAAAATCAGTAACAAATTTTTATGTGAACTATCTTTTTACCAATTTTCAGCTTTAATATAGTGCTATTATTTCCATACAGGAATGATTTTCAGGATGTCTCATGCAGGTTCAAGTTAGCATTATCAAGCCCTCGTCTTTATCTGTACAATACCTGAGGCTGTATGGCAATGCCTTGATGACGGGCAGAGGCACAAGGAGACCCCCAAACAAGAGCAAAACAAAAGCATAAACAAACACCAAAGCCACTTAAGAACACAGAGCTCTCATGAGGCATCCAGCCTGACTTGCACCTTCTATTCCTTAACTATCATTTTTTATGTGGTCATCATAGCATTACATACAACTCACAGGTCATCACTCCATTTGCAAGTGAGAACAGTAAAGGCCCAGAAGAGAAGTGTCTGAAATCCATCACCCAAGCTTCCTGGGACATTCCCATCCCTTCCAGTAAGAAAATTTGCCTCAAAAAGCATGGGTTGGGTTCTTTCCCTTTAAAAAAAATTATAAAAAGCAAGTTTCACACTATAAACATACAGTATGTTTGTATTTCTATAAAATAGAAAAAGCAAAAGCAGCCCAAAAAAACCTCCCATCTCACTGCCCAACCTACATAGCTAATTGAGATTCATGGTCCTTCTCACACCCACTATATTTCATAGAAATAAACTGTGTGCTACTTTCAACTGTAAATTAATGGAAAGGGAGACAGCGCACAGTGTGGAGCTGAAAGCAGAGAATCAAGAGTCCCAGACTGATGCTGCCGTAGGTCCCACTGTCACCCCAGGCACCTTAGCTTCTGGGTGCCTGTTTTCTTACTTGGCATACAGAAACAGTAACAGCCCTTAGTCACAGGATCTCTGAGGATGAAGAGAGCCAAATCACGTTAGCATAATTTCTTGAATCCATAAGTGCATGACACACATGTAAGGGCTTCTGTTAGTAGGCACAATGGATGAAATGCGGAAAGCAAGCGCACCTAGAACCGGCAGGTCGTTCAGCTGCACTTGATTCAAATGAATAGGTTTGCTCTCAAAGCTGCGTTGTTGTCCAGCATTCTCTAAGGCCTTATTCACTTCTTCAGCAGCCGCTTTCTTTGCTTCAGGACTCCTGTAGAAAATTAAGAGGAAAGAAAAGATGCCAAGAGAGTAAGTTTTCCATACTCAGAGATCTGCAAGCAAATAGGCATTTTCTCTTATTTTAACAAAGTGGCCAAGCTAATAGGGAGGCTGACAAGGGGCATTCCCATCCCTTGTACTCTTATTTGTAATGCTTTTGCCTTCAGTTTTAGCAAGAGCTGTCTTGAAGGATTTTGCTAAATAAAATTCTGGTCATACTAATAGGTATTATAATAGATAATAGATATCTATTAATAGGTAATTCTAAGTAAGCATTAAGCAGTCAAATGAAAAACATTACAAAGTAAACTGTATCTACAACAAGAATTACAGGGTATCCAAAGGGAAATTTAAATTTACTCTTAAAATTCATACCATGATCACAGGCAGAACTTGTTTTGTTTTGTTTTGTTTTTAGTTCTGGGAATTGAAATCGGGCTCTGTGCTTGCCAGGCAGGAGATGTGCCACTGACCTATATTCCTGACCCCATTTTTTCGTTTGAACTGTAAATAAAATAAAAGCTACTGATGTTAGCGCGTGGAAGTTGCTCGAAGCCTCAGTGCCACAGTCAGGATCTATATTATGAAAGTACAGCAAACTGAGTCCCTGAAATGTTTGGAAAGTATTTGTGTGGCCTTCTTAAGCTAGGCTTGCTTACATGACATTAAATTGATGTTGTAACCATACTATAAATACAGGAATTTATTCTGATCAAATAAATGGTTGAGACTGTGATTATCGAGGGAAACCTCAAACCATGAGAGTACACGCGAAAGGGCACAATCACTGCCCTGATTATTACATTCAAGTCACTTAAACTATGTTCATGACTACAGGCTGAAGTTCGTTCCGGGATGACCCTCGCGGGTGAGAGCAAAGGCCAGCGGCCGGGGCCACTGGGGTCGCCC